CCAGGCCTCTGTGATTAAACTCCTTACCCATGTTTTCTGGGAGAACCATCACACAAACAAGGGATTGCACATTTTACAGCACAGTATGGCAAATAGTTTTGAGAACATCACTTGTTGTGGCCTCTGAATGGGTTGATTATTTTGAATTTATTTTGTTTACCATGGTTTCAGATGTTCCTTTTTGAAACAAACAGGCTTTTAGAAACAGAAGAGCCTCAGGTTATTTCTGAGGCTGCTGACAAATGCCAGGCTGGCTTGCTTAGCAAGAGGCAGCGTGCCCACCTGTCTTGAAGCTGGCCAGGGGCTCCTCAGACCAACACGCAGCATTTTGGAGCCCTGCTCAAAGGAACACAGTGAGAAGAGCTGCTCTGCAGGAACTGATCAGACCACAGGTGGACTCTGATCAGAGAGCTCAGTTATAGCAACACCAACTAAACCAAAATAGTTCCATCCCAAAAGCAAGGCCTGCTATATATACTTGCACACAAGGGACTGTGTGTGGTTCCTTTTGAAGCTGATGGTGCAGAGGCAAGTTGTCTGTCCTATGGCTGGTCCAGGAGCCAAAATCATTTAGGCAAGGTTACAACAAAACCACATTTCTATGACCATTGATTCTGGTCTCTACATACCTGTTGCCAGCTGTCTAAATCTGGCCATAACCTCAGCTCTGTCCAGCCAGAGCTCCCAACAGACACAGTGTTGGCTTTGCAACAGCATCAAGACCATGGCTGATGCTCTTGGAACGCCTGGCAATGCAGAGGCAGCCCATCAGAACCTATAGAGAGAGCAGTTTGCAGCAGTGGGGGCTTTACATTGGGTCAGCAGTGGCCTGTGGCCACTGTAGGCTTTCAGCACAGCCCAGAGCCCTAAAGCCACCAGACCATGGCACAGGACAACAGCAGGATTCAGATGCTATCAAGTACGCACTCCACACTTTCCAAAATGCCTGCTCACACACACACATGCACTACAGATAATTTGCTTCTGAAAAAACAAATGAGGATTTCCACCTAGTGAGCTATGAGAGTGATATCTAGTGAGCTCATGCTGCTTTAACCCTGCTGCAGTGGCTTCAATCTGTGCAGGTGAAACTTTAAAGCACCTCTAGCAAACCCCAGCTCTGTGGTTTAAGCCAGAAAACTTTCACAAAGCCCTTCCAAGGTAAGTAACATCTTTTTTTTTTGCTACTCCATGTCCCCCAGCAACAGGAAGAGAAAATAAAAAAACCAACCTGAAAAGCTGCTTGTGCTTTTGGACATGGTCTTCAGAAAGCGAGAGGCAAGGCAGACAACAGCGTTCACTGTGTGATCCAGGCAGCTGAAACACGCTCAGGTACCTGTGCCTGTTTCTGGTCAGAGCAAACAAATTCAGGAGTGAGGTCACAGCCACCTGTCCCTGCGTGAAACAGTGCAGCAGTGCTGTGATGTGAGCAGAAAACAAGAGCCTGGAGGTACCCAGGCAAGCAGCACAAACAGTGCTCAGCTGAGCAGGGCTGCCAAGACCACAGCGTACCCTTGAAGCAGACTAAATAAGAAATGAGTGTTCCAGATAAAAACTGATCCATCAGGAACAATTTCACGGTATTCAGAGATCTCAGGGGACCAAAAATGCTAAAGCTGAGGCTAATTTCTGAGCAATCCAAGGTCTAAGCACTGCTCCCGCAGTGTGGGAGCCTTGATGGAGACCAGACCTCCCATGCTGGGCTGCCCGCACAGGAGCACATGTAAACTGTGAAGATGAGCCAAGGAGAGTGGGAGAAACAAGTCAGAAAAGAAAAAAATAAATCTTCCCACAGGTGGACAAGTGGCAAAGCTGAGGTTTGGTTTCAGTCTCTGTTTTCATCTTGGGGTAGTGCCCTCATTACCAGACCCTGTTGCCTTTTCCACCCAACTGCTCTTCCTTAAGCAAGGGATGATTTACAGTGCTCATGTGGATACTTCCTCACAGCAGGCACAGTCAGGAAGAACCAACTGCTATACAACCACTGGAAAAGAACCCTCTAGGAACTCCCAAACTGCTCCATAAAGATCTGTGTCCTTGTGCATCCTTTTACTCAGAGAAAGGGAGAAGGAGAGGCATCCTGCCCCAAGTTATACAGCAGGCAGGGCCAGAAATACAAAATTATTGGAATTATTCTTGCATGTTTAATCTAGGAGTTTTATTTTGACCTGCTCTGACATTCCTGTGCACCACTGACATGCCAATCTTCCCTTCACAGTTAAAAATCAAAGAAAAAGGCTGAGGTGGAGCAGTGGAGGAATGCCTGCAAAGAGGTTACAGGTGCTCAAATGGTGCATTGCTGGGCTGGTGCATACCACTCCTGCAGCCAGACCTGTCCTGTAAATTCTCGTGACGTAATTACATCAGGCAAGCATAACATGAAATGCAATCCCTAGACCTCAGAAAAACAACCAGTGTCCAGTTTTTACCAGTAAAATTTATTTCAGGTGAGGAACCCTTCACTGCACAAGCACAGCTGAACAAGGTGCACACCTGGCTTTGTGCAGGACTCTGCAGGTGCTCTACCCATCCAGTTTTGATGCAGACACAGTCTCTATTTGCAAAGTACACCACACTGAAGGAGGTCTGACTCTGAGCATTCAGGACAACAAGATATTCACATGCTGAAGAAGCAGGCAAGCAGACAGAGATGTTACACATCTGGCTTTCTGAGACCACAACAGTGTTTATCGCAAAGGTTCAGCTCCTGGCTGTTTGGAGAACAGGGCCCATCCAAAGAGAAGTGGTCTGTCCAGAAGCACTTCTGGCAGGAGACCTCAGTCCGTTATCTCCTCTCACCCTCACTCACTGGTGTCTGTTTGGCTGCCCAGTTTTGAAATGAGACTGGGGAGCAGCATCCTCCTTGTCTTAAATTGTAGATGAGCTGTGCCCTCTAGTGGGGTCTGACACACCAGGAGCTGGAGAAGAGCTTTCCAGGGGAAGATGACACAGCCCACACAAGGGACACACTTACCTGGACTCGGGAGGACTCCAAGGCATTTACACCAGCCAGGCCATAGCACTTTGTTCCCACCATCTTCTTTTGTAAAAGCCCTTCACAAAGATCCTGAGATCAGCTCAGCTGGTTAGATCATGCTGCCAATAACACCAAGGTCATGGTTTTGTTCCCTGCGTGGGCTATTCACTTAAGAGTTGGGACTTGATGATCCTTGTGGGTCCCTTCCAACTCAGAATATTCTGTGAAAGGCATCTGAGATGTGTCATGTGCTCAGGCAGAGGAGACTGGTATGAAAATAACAGAGCACGAGATGAGTGCTTATTGCAGCAGCACAAACTGGTAATCAAGTTTCTCTTAGCACCAACAAAGCAGTCCTTTCATAAGGCTTCAAAGCCTTCCAGCCTTTTTTTTTTTTACAAAAAATTAGATGCTTAATTTAGGTGCATGATGCTACCATAGCTTGTAGGTCCAAACCAGTGGTAGAAGGGAACAGACTGCCTTTCAGCATCACTCATTGCTGTGGGCAAAGATTCTTCCTGCAGCAATCCCAGCCTAAGGGGTTCATGCCCCCAGCCCTTCCAAAGTCCTGAAACACCTTCCTACCCATGTGCTGTGCCAGGGAAACTGTGCACAGGGTCAAAGACTTGCACCAAAGGACTGACTGATGCAAAGCCCTGGAAAAAAAATAAGGCTTTAAGTCAGCTCATGTGGGAAACAAGTTATGGGAAAGGGAAGGGGGGGGCATTAAACTGCTTTGGGGATGAAAAATTTATATGAGCCTCAGACAGTTTGGGTTTTCATAGGGTTTTAAGGAATCATCCTCAAAGGATCCCCAGATTCTGTTCTAGCCTCAGCAGAGCTGATGGGAAGGACCTGGGAAGGTAAACACTTTCCTTCCCTCTGGTAAGAGGGTAAAATCTGCTCCCAGGCTTCAGTATATCCACCTCAAGTTTTGCTGTGACAGTGTAAATCTGTGCACACATTCCCAAATGAAGGGAAATGCTCCAATTTTGCTTGCAGACCAAAACTTCTCACAGTGATTCCACACGGCCTCCTGTATGAAATCTGTGGAACTCTCAGGCATCTGTACATGGCTGTTTACCATAGAAATGAGAAGCAATTGAGCCACAGTGCTCAGGCCTTGGAAGTCACAAGACACGCTTCTCATTTCAAAACTAGGCTGATATTATTTTTAAGCTTTCTTGTAGGACTTCTGCTTTTCACCCTGCTCCCTATAACTATTAGGACTAGATTTTGTGAAGTCTGTTTTACTCTCAGACATCTTACTTGAAGGAAAGATACTGCCTGTGATGATGAGTGACAGAAATACAGAACTACCTTAATTTAGATATTTAATTATCATATCTTGCCATTTTCACTCCAATGCATTAACATGCTGTGATTTCTCTCTCAAGATACTGAAGATTTAACAAGAGTAGCCTTTTTCAAAACACTAAGCCCCAGCTGCCTGGGGCAAGTAGCTATTATCTTAGTTGACAGGCAGTAAAATGCTCGGTTTTTGCTCACTTTGCACCTCCCAAGCTCAACAGCCCAAGCATTCTGCAAGACAAGCGGGTGTGTCTTCTCACACACAGTAAATCAGCCATGCTCCTGAAAACAATTCTACTTTGCAATCCCAAACCTAAGTTACCTGAGCCCGTACCTGGCACAGGACCAAAGCCAGGTCTAATGTGTGTCAGCAGAAATTGCTGTATCATAAAAACCCGGGGAAGGACAGATCCCTGGTACGCCACGTCTCCGGCTGTGGTGGAGTCCAAGGTGCTTTTCCTCCCCATTCCCCTGATAACTAGGTTGGTCTTGGACCCTATGGCATGGGGAAAAACACACTCACCCATTCATCCATGTGTCTGTCCATCCACCCACCCACTGCCAGACCCCAGCGTGGGAAGTGGGGAGGGAAGGAGGTGGGGAAGGAGAGAGTGCAGGGGGCATGGCCACCAGCTACGCTCCCTGTGACGGCAGCCCCGTGTTCTCGTCTTGCCTGGCTCCCAGACCTTAGACCTGGCGTCGGGTCTAAGGTTCGCTGATCTCCGGTCGCCTCCCACCTTTGACACCACTCCCGGGTGGTTTCGCTTTCACCTGCCCCTGGCACCAAGAGGCTGGAACAGACGGATGGGGCCATCATCCCACCGCACCTGACAGCACAGACTGGAACCCTGGGAGGAGAGCAAGGCTTCGGGAAGGTAAAGGCATCCTCTGCTGGGGGATTCTCCGTGAGGCAGGCCCCAGACCCAACCCACCGTCTCCAAGGTGCCTTTCCCACACAAGCGCGGGGACTCTCATCCTCCCACTAGGAAGCAGCCCCACACCCAAGGCGCGAAGGTGCAGCCAGCACGAAGGGTGGCACAGTCCTCAGTGAGTCTCTGCCCAAGAGAAGAGGTTTTAGGAAGCCCTCTGCCCTACCCCCATCCTCTCAGGAAGCCAAAGAGCTACTGCAAAGGTCTTAGCAGAGTGCTCGGTGTGTCCCACAGCCCAGGCAGTCTCCATTTATTGCTCTCGTATTTCCCGGCACAGTTAATGGAACTTATTCTCTTCCCCTTAGCTCTGGGGAGAGCTGATTGCCCTGAGAAATCAGCACTATGTAAATCTAACAGTGTTTACACCTTAAGTCTTTGCAGTTGGGATTTTTGTATCCCCTGGTAACCTTGGCTTAAGTGAACTTTCCAAGTGACCATGCTCCCACATCAGCACTGCCAGAGCTTTAGCAGCTAGGAGAAGGCTCCCAAAAGCAGAGGAGTGCTTTAAGTTGAATACTGGAAGTTAACTGGGGATGTAGGTGCATGACAACTATCTCATGTGGGGGAAAAAATTAAGTATCTAAGTGTGAAAGAACCTAAAGTATCACGACCAAAAATTGCAGGGTTAGATACTGCAGACTTACACAGTTAAACATTGAAGTCCTGTGTTTTTTCCAAGGAGATCATTAACTGTGGTTCTGGTTCACTGCTGCACCCCTGCAGAAACTCAGCAAATGTCTTCAATGGTTTTAGGACTTTCTTAGAGCTTGTGATTTAGAAAAGCTTAGACATCTATTAGACATCATTACACTTAAACAACATTAATTTCCCAGGAAGTTAAACAGTCTTAAATGAGACTTCTCGGTAACTTCATCTTCAAAAGGTATGCATTACTTTTCCTTTGTTTTTTTACTGCTTTCCTTTGCAAATAAAAGGCTTATCCCCTCACAGTTAATAGACCAGGACCCTCCACCCCAGGTTAAAAATGCTGCAGAGATACTAATTTACAAAGTGGCGACAGCCAAGCCCTTGCTGTCACATTCTAGCACACACTGTCACCTCATGTTTCTCTCTTTATTACTAGTCTTTATGCTGATAAACCACGAGTTTGAAAGGATACTCCTTAGATAAAATCCAGTTTCCTGCTAATGCTAAACAACTAGGTCACCCTCATAAACATATTCATCAGATCCCTTCTTGGAAATGGGTGGTTCAAGTGCAATATTGCTGATCTGGCGCTGCTGCTGCCGTAGCTGGCAAAGAGATCACCTTTAACTCGATTCACAGTGGGCTCCATAGGGACACAGCTGATTAATGCTGGTCAGAGCTGGCCCAAGGGAAGGAGAGAGGAGACAATGAGACAGGGGAATGGGGGTGTCTGGCTGAGAACACAATTTCCTGGGTGCAGCAATGTTTAATCCTCTGTCAGGAAGTGAGAAATGATCTGTGTCCTGGCCATTTGGCTACTTGCCTTCAAGGTAAGTGTGAGATCAAGCAATCTTGCCCCGAATATCTGCTTCTAGACACAGCTGTCACAAAATATTAAGCTGTATCTGGAGGCTAAATCCACCAGCAGGATTTTTACAGTTGATTGAAGATAAATTGGTTTAACTCTGACTATACTGAATCCAAGCAGGTTCAGCTTTCTCTGCCCCTCAGCATGGCCTCGAGGCACAAGGACAGGACCTGCAACACCTCAGCTGTTCCCCAAGCTGCTCCCCAAATTGCTGAGTTATTCTTTACCAGGATCAAAATAAAAAGCCACAAAATCCAGCATCTAAGCAGTCCCAGTTCAGGTTACACCTCAGCCCTTGAATTCCTGTGTGGAAAAATTTGCTAAAGCCGTTTTACACCAAAGCATTGGTGACTCCTTCAGAGTTTTGAGTTTGTAATAAGATCAACTGAACTTATTCTAGTTATGCTGACAGAAACTTTCTAGCATGCTCATGCACTCTGCTGGGGTTTAACTTACAGAAATGCACAGGAAAGTTTTTGTCAGTATTTCTCCTGGATCTGCTCAGGGAAGTCAGAAAAGTTTCCACATGAACAGCAAGCCTGTGTTTCCTCAGCAGCACAGACACTGGCTGGAAGTACAGGGATGATGTTTGCTGTGACATCCACACCTGGAGCAGGGACTGGTGACCCTGTCAGAACAGCATCCTGGAATTTATGGAGCTGACTAACCCTAAGCCAAGTCTTACTGACGGTCTCTTCCTCGAAGCACAGAGCAGCTACAGAAGGGTGACTGTGAACCACATGAGATATCTGGATGCTCTTCCTGTAGTCCTTTAGCCAGAAAGTGCAGGTTTTTACTCTGTACACTCTTTTTCCAACAACAAAAAAAAAAAAAAACCAACAACAAAAAAAAAACCAAAAAAACCCACCAAAACCAAGAAAAAAACCAAAACCAAGAAAAACACAAACAAAAAGGACAAAACCACCACCATTTCCCCCTGTTCTTCATTGAATTAGAAAGAAGCCACGTGTTTTTCTTCCTTGCCATTCTCCTTGAGTGGAAAGGGAGACATTCTCTGGGAAAGAAGTTGTTTAAAATGAACTTCAGCAAAACTCATTGCAGTAAATCTCAGGTGAGTTTTGTTCCAGCATCAACTCAACCTTATGACGTTGAACAGAGAGCAGCAGAGGGAAATGATGAGAAACTGAGTTTAGTATAGATAATCTTGGGTGGTTTTCAAGCAGCTTCTTGCTTCCTTAGAGAGTTTTGTGGCTTATCACCAATAGTAACTGCCCAGAATGGATGGCAGTCTTATTTCCAGCCTATAAAGAGGCAAGTGTATGTGATCAATACCACAAGGAGCACAGTTATGCTGTGCTGCAGAGTTTATCTTTTTCCTGTTTAAATAATATTACCCACTCCTGACTAGCTGTTCTGCACAAACCACAATCCTGCTCTTCATCACAGGGGCTGTATGAGCTGGGGAAGGTGGTGTTACCTGTGTTCTTTAAGGGAATTAAAGCCCATTTAACTGAGCAGGAAAGCTATTTGGATCTAAAGATACAGACCTGAGTTCAGCCAACCGAAGAATGCTCTTAAGGACAGCCTTAATGAAGAATTAAAGGTCTGGAGCCTGCCAGATTGCAGGGGAAGGACAGGCAAAATAAAGGAGACACGTGGGATGAGCAGCTTGCAAGAACAAGAGGCTTTTGTCAGAGAGGGGTGTTGCAGAGACCTTCCCAGGCCAGGAACTACATTGCTAGTGCTGCTGTTAGGTGTCTTCATAAAGATACTTCTTGCTCAACAGCAATGTTTCACATACCAGATTCCTGAGCCCCAGGTAGAAATATCGCTAAATCTTCATTATAAGTCTTGCAGGTCCTGGTCTTGCTCTCTGGCTGACCAGGGCTTTCTTCCACATGGAAGGAAGCACCCCATTCCAGCAGTGCTCATCCTGGCATCCTGTTCAGTTCAACACCCCATGAGCCTTCATCTTCAGGCTCTGCATGAACTTCCTTCTCCCATTTATAACTGTTCACATGAGTATTTTTGGAGGAGGAGCTCTGTAAGGAGGAACCAAGGCAAACCAAGACAGTGTTATTTGCTGCCCTGTGCTGGCAGTTCCCACCAAGAGCAGGGCACTGTCGCTTCCTTGACCTCAAGGCTGGGAGGAGGAGACACGTGCCACCCAGGAGGGCTCCCACCGACCGTCCTCTTCCCAGGGTATGGCCAAAACTCTGCAGCAGCTTTCTCGGAGTCAGGTTTGAGATAACCACTGTTATTCTGGTCTGTGTTCCCCCGCCATCCCTGGGCACAGTGGAGCTCCATCCAGAGTGGGGCGGAGTCACACTCTGTGCTGACGCAGTCATGAGGTGTGAGACTTCATGAGCTTGGTCTGTCTGGGGGTTCTTTACCATGGTGCAAGAGCATGTGCCATCTGCTTTGTGTGCTGCTGTCCTCAGGGGCGCTTGAGCCAGGTCCTCTTGCTCCTGCTTTTTCAAGCAACTTGCTGACTCAAAGCAGGGCTACCACAAAGCCCATCAGATCCTGAGGTGCCGAGTCATTGCCTGGGCAGTGTCCTTAGCAAGCTGGTAGCAGCATCACCTCCATGCCTGAGCTGGGCTTTCCTGGTATAACTTATAACCAGCACCCACAATAAATGTAGAACATCAGCCTAAACTCTTCAGCAGCACTGTGGTGAGAAAGGTGTGCTCAAGAGCAAGGCACAGGCATGAGTGATGTCCCTCTGCCATTAACTTCCCCCAGCATGTCCTCTTAAAGGAGACACACCAAATTTAGTCTCCTTGTCTATATCCAAGAAGGCTTCTTGCATCGATTGTTCCTTCCTAAAGATCTCCACCTTCTGGTCATAACTGACAGTGGCAGATGCTTTGATAGATTTGATTCAGGATATTAATGATTTTATTCCAGCCTATTCTGAGGTTAAACCCCACCTGTCCCCCTAGCACCAGTCAGGACCTGATGCAGGAGGCTGGCATCAGTTGCAGATGTACACTGAACAGAGTTGGTTTCATTGCAGGCCATGGCACAGGAAACAATGCCAGGTGCCTCCCTGGAGGGGAGCCATCCCACCTACACGTACAAGGTGGTTCTGCTGGGCAGCATGTCGGTGGGGAAGTCAAGCCTGGCCTACCGATACGTGAAAAATGACTTCAGGGAGTTCCTGCCAACCGTGGGCTGTGAGTGAGTGGCTTCAGTTGCTTGATGGCTCTGGACAAGACACCAGGCCTGATGCACTTCCTTGAAGCAGGGTGGGATGGAGAAGAACTGGTTGGTACATCTCACAGTAGCACAGACCCACTTCTGAACATGATACAGATTTGCCCAAGAGCCAGACCTTCCCCTTCACATCTCTGCAGACCATTTGCTCAGCACCAGGCTGTAAGCAGAGCCACATCCATATCACCAAAGTATGGCTTGGTGCTGCTTTTTAGAGGCAGATGAGCAGCAAAATGAGTGAAACCTGGAATTCAAACTGTACAGCCCATCTGCTCTTTGCACGCTTGGTCCTGTGCTGCCCTCCCAGCTATTTAAGACACCCCAGGAGGGTCTCATAGAATGGTTTGCATTGGAGGGCACCTTAAAGATAATCTAGTTTCAATCTCCCCTGCCTAGGTCCTACAGCATCTAGACATAGATGTTCTTTTTACATGATGTACCTGGCTTTTGCCTAAGAAGGCACAGCAGGCACAGAGGCTGCAGTCCCACCTGTATCTGCAGAGATGGTGGAGGAGAGCAAAGTACCATGGAACTTCTCCCCATCCCTCTGCCATGGCTGTGGCTGGTCTACAGGCAGCCATCTGCTCCCCAGGAACAGGGATGGAGGCTCACCCTCCAGTGTGAGCCCTTTCAGTGGATATTCTTATTCAGAGCTCTCACAGGTCTGACCCACCAGCAAGGTGGTGGAGCCTCTCTGTCTGGGGTCTGTTCTTCAAAGCTCAGAACTATCTGGCATCAAACCTGGTGTGAACCCAAATCTGCTGTCAGGAAGGGCCCCTGGCCTTGCAGCACATCATCCCATCAAGGGTACCAATGATCACGAGAAACCCACCCCAACTTTGCACGTTAGAACATTGTTACCAACCCTCGGGATGGGTTTGACCTCACAGCAGCAGACTTAAGGTATCTCCTGTTACTGCAAGTGAACATATACCCTGCATCTTGCTTGCAGGCTCCTTCTTCACACGCACACACAACCTGGAGGCAGCCACCGTCAAGTTTGAGATCTGGGACACGGCAGGCCAGGAGAAGTACCAAAGTGTCTGCCACCTCTACTACCGGAATGCCCACGCTGCTCTGCTCGTTTATGACATTGCTAAGAAGGTAAGGCAGGGGATGCTCGTTCCATCCGTGCCATGCTGCAGCACACTGGTGGGGCAGAGATGTCCAGATGATGGTGTTTGTCCTTTGCAGACCAGAAAGCAGTACATGAGCACCACCTGAGAAGGTGAACATTCCACCTGGGACTTGTCAGGGGCTGCCCCTGCCCATGCAGGACCATGCCACTACCCTGGGATGATTTCTGCTGCCACGCAGAAAGGGTGCATCCCATCCAAGGTGGATTTATGCCTGAAGGTGTTTGAGGGCTGGTGACCTGTTTTTCTGAGAGAGGGCAATCACTACTTCCCCACCACACCTCTTCCACCTTTGGTTTGGTGCCACCCATCCAGCTTTGTGAGACAAAGGGATTAAATCAAAACCAGATCACTGAGCAGTTTTGTCTCCATTTCTCCAGGAAACACTCAAGAAAGCAAAGCTGTGGCTGGAGGAGCTGGAGAAGAAATTCCTTCCTGATGAAATTGTCATTGCTTTGGTGGGCAACAAAACAGACCTTGCTGCTGAGCGAAAGGTCACCACTGAGGTGAGTGCCTGTGGTTCCCTCATCACCCCCTCACCAGCAAGCACTGGGATATGTCCAAGGAAAGCCAAGAGTTTAAAAGGTTTTCAGACACCTCCAAAATCTCTGTACAATTATTGACCCATCATAGCCAAAAAAGCAGCCCCAGAAGAGGCTGGGGTAATAACTCTGCTTGTCTCCACTTAGGAGGGGGCAGAGTTGGCACGGACAAAAGGCCTCCTGTTCATGGAGACATCTGCAAAATCCAACCATCAAGTAAATGATATCTTCATGGCCATAGGTGAGTCATGTGATGGGTCTAGGTGAGAGCAGAAGCAGGTGAACCACGGCTCCAAGCCCCTGCAAAGCTGATCCCCTTCACTGCTCCTGCTTGCCACCGAGATCTTCTTCCCAGCCAATCCAGCCTGTGCCACCCCTTAAGGCATAAGGATGGACAGATCCATCCCAGGATACTCCAGCATCAGAGATGGCTTTCAGGCCTTCTCCCAAAGCCACAATTTTATTTTGCTTTAGTATCCAATCTGGGTGTAATGGTGTCCCCAGTTTAGGGGAACTGTGGGATGGTCCCCTGGGGTGGGATGGTGTGGCCATTGCACCCCACACTACCAGCAGGGGAAAAGAGCCCTTTCTTGCCTTATGTTTCCTCCCAGTCCAAGAGCTCCTACGTCGGGAAAAAGAGAAGGCATCTGCCCCATCCCCACACGAGAGATCAACAATTGACCTGAAGGAGGGCACGCCACAGAGGAGGTGCTGCTGGCTCTGAGGACATGCAACTCTGGACCTCAGCCATGACTGGATGAAGTCTCCATGAGGAGCAGTGGGGACTCAGAAGTGCAGAAGCAGCTCAGCCTGACCACCCTCCCCCTCAAAGCAAGTTCAGAGCCCACCCCGGGTGCACAGGGCCTCTTCAACCCTCTAGCACTCTCTTCATCCGAGAGCTAAAGCACAGGGTTTTCTTCCACCAAGCTTCCACTTCCAGAGAAGAGCACAACCTGCTAGCAACACTACCACCAACCCTGACTGGTGATATCCCCCCACCCCAGCTGCACATCACCTCCTCCATCTCCCTTTCCATCTGAAAAGGGAGGGTTTAGCTTTCCAGAGCAAAGCAGGTGCATTCTGGGGACTTCACACTCAGGCTGCAAATAAAGAGAATAGTGCCCTGAAGGTGTGTTATTTTTTCCCTGTCCTGGATGTCAGCCTGCAGGTGGGGAAGCTTAGAGGTGGCAGGGACCAGAGCCAGTGCTCCCTCACCCCATCTAACCCATAGTGGGTCACAGCCCATCCTTGGGAGAAATCACAGATTTATTGCCAACATAAGAGCCAGAATGGGGCCAAACCAAACAAGTGGTGTCCCAGTACCCCGTGCCTTCCAGGGCCTCCCCTTTGCATATTATGAGTTAGATGTGGGAATGCACCTTGGCTGGAAAAGGATTAAAAACCACCTGTGCTCTCTCCAAAGGCAGCAGCACTCACCTTGTCTGCAGGGCAGTAACCTCTGAGGTTTTGGGGCATGGCCTGAGAGCAATGCCAGGCAGCAAACACTCTTGAAGACCTTCCCCATGCAGGGGAGGTTGTCTTACCCCTGAGAACCAACCACCCCAGCACCCCACACCAGCCAGGACACTCACCTGTGGTGCTTCCCCAGGGCTGAGCCATCCCGGAGCAGGACAAGAGCCCGTCCTCCGAAAAAAGGCTGATTTGCTCCCTCCTCTTGCCTAAATCCCCTTTGTTAGGGCAGCTGGGAGACATTAGGTGCTAATTGCCACTCCTGTACCCCATCTGCTCCCTCCCCTTCCCAAAATTAACCCTTCCCTCCCCAAACCACACTAGACCCTCATTGCTGGAGCGTGACGAGACCAGCAAATTTTGGGGTCACACTCTCTACCCTGCACCCCCCCACGTCCCCCTCATGCTGCGTTTTGGAACAGAGAGGCTGGGACACAGGGATGAGAGGAGAAGGGGTTTTATTGTCAGCTTCAGTTCAAGGGTTCCGCTCCTCCCGGGGAGGGTGGGGGGCTGCACAGGCTCGCTGCCGGCCCCCCATGGGGTGGGTGCCCTCGCCCAGGGCTTGCCGCCTCCCGAACCGCCCCACCGGCCTGATCCCGCGTCCCGTGTACCAGGAGGGGTCGATGTCCGGGTCTGCAAGGAAAAAGCCGAGGAACCATCAGGGGGTGATGGGGGAGAGGACAGGGCGTTTCACCCGTGGGTGGGGGGATGATAACCCAAGGAGAGCAGGAAAGGGGGAAGAGAGGGATAAAAGCTCTTGCAAAGGCTGTTTCAAAGCAAACCTTTGCTTCTGCATCGTTACACCCCCTCCTCGCCCCCAAAAATGCGGCTGAGTCTGGGGATGCAGAGGGGGCTGGAAGCAGGGTGTTGATTGGGGGGACTCCCTTACTCATGTTCTCCTTACTCCTGATTTCCATGGAGCGCTGGAGGATGCGGCCGTAGGCGACGGGCAGGGTCAGGCAGGCGAGCAGCAGGCACAGGAGGCAGGTGGCCCCCAGCTTCATCCCCAGCACTTTCCGCCCGCAGTGGCTCGGCTCCGAAGTCTCCTGGCCCCCGGCACTTCACGCCACAAAGACGGTGGCCTCCGATGCGGCTGTGGGAGGGAAGGGATTTGGCTGTTGATGTGTGTCCCTATCACAGTATCCCTGGGCAAGCAGCGATGCAAAGCGCTCGGGAGAACTGGATCAGAACTCGGGGGTTTTGCTGGGGCTGATACCTTTTGGGAAAGTATCCCCTCCAAACACGAGTTGTGCAAACCTGATGTTCATTAAAACAGGTTTTGGTCCTAGCCTAGTGCCTTGGGTCAGGCCTGACATAGTTCATCGTTTCTCCTCCGGGAGCCCCTGTGCAGCACGGGATCCCACAGCCTGGGTGATGGGGAGAGGAGCCACCACCAAAGTGCAGGGCTGGCTGCACCAAGCAAAGGCTGCGAAGCCTCAAATGAGGTTTGCTGTGGGATGCTGGGGGATGCATGAATGGACCACGGTCACCTCTGCACCCTGGGCGCCCACCCCTGGACCGAGCTGCCGAAATGGAAATCCGGGAACACCCTGTAACCTACTCCAGGGCACTGAGGGGATGAGCAGGAGCGTGCACGGCTGAGCAATGGGCTTGATTTCTGCCAGGGCGAGGGGGGCAGAAGCGGGAGAGCTGGGTGAGGCAGGACACGGCGCGGGTGTGGCGGCAGCTTTAATTCCAAAGACTTTTGCAAAGGAAAAGTTTGCAGCGTGCTGAGCAGGAGGCAGATTGGGCTCCTGCGAGCTCAGGTTTGCTGCGGCCACCAAATTTTTGGAACCCCCCAGCCCGGTCGCACAGACGCAAGGACAGACACACGGGGAGGCAAAGCAGGGCTCAAAAGCATCACGAGAGGGAGAGAAAAGCGTGGCTCCCGCCGCCGGGGCTGCACTTACCGTGGCGTGGCGAGGCGAGGTGCCCGGCTGCCGTCCCGCTGAGCCAGGTGGCTGCTGTCTGAGCCGGAGTCCCCTCCGGTCGCTGTTTTTATGGCCGGTTTCGTGCTGATGTCAGAGGCGAGTCCTGACAGGGACCGAGCCGGGGCATCTCCCCTCCCCGCTGTCCCCTCTCATCAAATCAGCACAGGGGTTTTCATGACTCAGAAGGGACCAGCATTTTATCTTCCGCTGGCTGAGGAAGATAGTTTGGGAATATGTTAATCCCTGTCCTCGACCCAGGGTTATTTTGGACAAGGGGAAGTTTTCTGGTCCATCACACCCCCAGCGCCCACTGCGGGGAGGGGGAGGATCTGTGGTTCACGCTGCCCTGAAAGCTGAGTTACCAGTGCAACTCCACCACAGGATTCACACTGGGTACCTTTCTCCATCACTTTCCCTCCCCCAAAAAAGCTGCTTTAAGGAAATCAGAACATTAAATGCAGAGAAGAGGGGAAGGCAACTTGCTGGGGCACTCGAGTTGTCAGAAATGGGTTTGTCCTCGTGGCATGAGGGCTTCAAATCCCCTGCTTTCCCTTCCTTCCCCACCCCCCCTTTTTTTTAAATGGGTTTAAAAGATTTCTGACTCTGTTTGTTCTGCTGGATGTGACACTGAAGGAGCCATCTCGTGTCCTGAGCACAGAGGGTTTAGTTGGCATCCCCAGGCAAAACTGGGACCAGAGACATCCTGAAACAGGGACATATTTCTGCTGGCAGGATGGTGAAGACACTGTCACTAGTGGGGTGAGGGCAGGGGGCAGGTCTCTGTCTGCCACCTCCCCGTGGAGCTGGCATTGCCCTGGGACAGGTCTCCATCTCATATGGTTGTCAGCTCCAATGCCTGATCACAACAGTGTTGGGGACAGGTGACAGGAGCAGCAAGAGACACAGGGTGATTGCCACAGAGGTGTTGCAAAGGCAGGGAAAGGGGTAAAGAGATATATAAACCCCCCATGTTTCAGCCATGGAAACCCACACCCTGAGCTCAGCAGGTCTCTCTCTACCCCAGGGTTGCTGCTATTATTTAATACAGATTTAAAGTAACCCCTCAAAGTGGGCTTGTGTTTCTTGTGGCTTCAGCTGCCAGACTTGATTCGGGGTGTCCATGCAAGTTGGAGCAGTGCATTTATTTCAGGATCAGCCTCTCTTTACCCCCACCCCGTGCATCCCCTTTGCCCACCTGGCTTCACCACTGGGTACCACTAACCCACAGTCTTCACACCTGTGGCTCTGTGACCAGTATCTGACTATTCATATTGCCATCCTGATCAGAACCATCTGCCTCTGTTCTGCTTCAGTGCTGCTGATTCAATTCCTGTCTGCTTCACCTGGCTAGTTTTAAAGCAAGGACTGCACAGATTGGTTAAAGCAAAGGATGGACATGGACCTGCTGGAGTGAGTCCAGAGGAGGTCACAAATATGCTCCAAGGGCTGGAGCCCCTCTGCTCTGGAGACAGGCTGGGAGAGCTGGGAGTGTTCAGCCAGGAAAAGAGAAGGCTCTGGGGAGACCGGAGAGGCCCTTCCAGCACCTAAAGGGGCTCCAGGAGAGCTGGAGAGGGACTTTGGACAAGGGCCTGGAGTGACAGGACAAGAGGGAATGGCTTCCCACTGCCAGAGGGAAGGTTTAGATGTGATATTGAGAAGGAATTCTTCCCTGTGAGGGTGGTGAGGCCCTGGCACAGGTTGCTCAGAGAAGCTGTGGCTGCCCCATCCCTGGAAGTGTTCCTGGCCAGGTTGGATGGGGCTTGGAGCAACTTGGGCTAGTGGAAGGTGTCCCTGCCCATGGCAGGGGCATGGAATGAGATGAGTTTTAAGATCCCTTCCAACCCAAACCCTTCCGTGATTCTATGGAAAGAGAGAGGAACCTTTGCTTGAGTGAGCTAAAAGAACAGACACAGGAAAATGAGTGGATGGTTCTGGACACAAAATTGGCTTTATTGCATGATTTAGTATACATATATAAAATCTCTAGGCAGAAAGATGGGTCAGAAAACCAGCAGAGAACAATGTGGATGACTACAGCCTGAACGATGCCTTAGTTTGCACTGCTGAAGCTCACCGTGAGGATTTCTTTACAGGGTCAAGCGTGGAAGGACTTGAGTTATGGCTGAAACCAGACACAGCAAGAGATGGAGTTGGGGCAAAGGCTGAGCCCTGACACCAGAAGGCTGGGTGCAAACCCCCCAAGTCTTGGTGGAGCTCCCTTCTGCCAGCAAGGAGCTGACATCCCAGCACCGAGGCCAGCAGAGCAGCAAGAAATGTACCCATTAATGCCACAGTGTCTGGGAAAGTTTCTGCCACAGCAGAGATTTGCACTTACCCTTTTGAGTGTCAGGCCAGAAGGATTTAATTTTAAATTAAGAAACTGGTTTTGTTTCCATCTGGGAAGCCCAGACTATGGACTTACAAGACTGCTCTGGGATGACCACAGGACCAATTTCTAGGCAGTTAGCAGTTTCTAGACAAAGCCAACATATGTGTTACTTGCATGATAATTCATCCTACTGCTCATAATTAAAGTGGTTTTAGCTCAGATGCACAGGAATTGCCTAAAGGGTCCAGCCTGAGTGGCCATTGATGGGAATCTGTCAGCATTGGTCTGACATTCACCCTCTGGCTGCGAATGATCCTCTCCCCATCATCCACTGTGGAAGGAGAGAGGCAGGGAGGGAAG